AGGCGCATCCTCCATAGCATGTAATTTCCCAGATGACACTTGTTTTTTACTTGACAAGCGAACTTTAGCGAAATGATTTGCTCTTCCACAAGACCTACAAGACTTCCCATATGCTGGACACTGCTCTTTAATTCTTTGATGCACAGTCCCACACTATTTGCATGCTGTAGAGTTGGCAGTATTTGCTTTAAGCATGTGTTGCTGTCCTTGCGGTTTGCTTGTGTGCCATTGCTGCATTGCAACGTTTATGCTGTCACTCTGTCTGTCCTGTTCCATCACTTTCGGATGTCTGTCAGTAAGCTCTGCTGTATGACACGTTTCAATAGCTGTGTTTAGCGTTAAGTCGCGCTCTCTTAGAAGACGCCTGCGTGTGCTCTCACTAGATATACCAAGAACAATTTTGTCCCTTATTAGTTCATCTTTCAGGGTGCCATATTCACAAGTAGCTGCTTTTTCTCATAAGCAAGTAACAAAGTTGTCAAGAGATTCTCCCTCCTCTTGTTTGCAGCATCCAAACACATATCTTTCATAAATGACATTTTTAGCAGGTTTGAAATAAGCTTCTAGTACATCCAGAATGGCTGTAACATTCTCTTGCTGCTCTGCTGAGAGGTTCAGATTGTGCTTATACACATGCCTGCATTCACTGCCCATGACTCTTCTCAGAGTGGCTGCCTGCACTGCCGTAGGTTTCGCATTCAGCCCTGTAGCCAGGGAATAATCCTCACATTCAGCTCTGAAAGTTTCCCAGTTGCTGCTACAGTCCCCACCGATTTTCATCCCCTCTGGGGGCGGTATGCAATTCATGGCAGCCATGCGGTCGGTAGGCCTCACAGCCTTCCAGTAGCAGAAAACGCACAATGAACGGTCTCAAACTGTAACTCACAAATCAGTGCTGTGTCCCGGGGCTACTGCACTCCAAGCAAGAGGCTCTATCCAGATTCAAGTCACTTCTGACACCATGTTTCATGTACAGAAAGGACAACGCTGCAAGCTGTTAGTCCGAGGAGTCATGAAGCACTGTGTTATTGCATCCGGTAAAGGACAGGAACAGGAAGTACAAGAGCAATGCGATATTGCCATTGGTAGTTATAGTAACTCCATACCAACAGATTTCTCTGTTGGAGGAAAAGATCTGTTGCTGTCTGTGCTCTGCAACTTTGAACCCAGTTTATCCCAGTTAATCCTGCCAGAGTGACAAAAGTTGCAACTAATTGCTTCTTTGAGCAATGAGTGTATTTATGAATCAGAGGCAAAGCACGTGCTCTTACCCACTGGATCTTCTGAGGTATTGTTTGAAAAGGTCTTTTCTTCCAGTTTCTGAAGGAAGAAATAGGCATAAAATTTTGAGTTAATGTTAGGCAGTAGATTGGGCTATTTTGATTCCATTTCCTAATATTGGGACTTTGATTCACATTTCCCTCCCTATAAAAATCTTACACTGTGTTTTTATATGTGAAAACAATTTTACTAGAACAGTGTTCTTAAAAAGTAGAATCTCTTTTCCAGAAGGTTTGTTAGAATGCAATCTTTGGATATTAACTTATTATTATTGATATTAATAATTAATATTATGGATATTAACATAATGTTAACATTATGGCTGGCCATGAGTTAGTTTCCACCAATTCTGAAAATTTAATTTGAAGCTGTAAGCCAAATGGACTGTTGTTGTGTCTCCCTAGTTAAAGACTTGTAGGTCAGCTTTCCACCTTTCCAAATATTTTAATGTCCTGATCCAGTACTTGGATTATGAGGAAAACATAGGGGTTCTTAGTGAAATTAATAATCACTGTCCATTTTCACCAATGTTAGACAAACTGTGCTTGTCCTTTCATTAATCCTTTTTAATTTCAGCTCTGCATCCCACCCAGTTTGCCCTGCCTTTGATCCATGTGCCACCAAGTTTCAAATGTTCTGCTGTCGCTGTCCATGGCTATGAAGCTGATGCTTGTTGTATTGCCAGTCTTTCTCTGTTTCTCCTTGTTGTATTATTTCTGAAAATATGCTAGTCCTCCAGTGAAGCTTCTTTGGTCCATGTGCTTTGCAAACAGTAAACCACAGAAACCTTTATTCTTATTGTTTTCCCATGATACTTATTTTAACTGAGGCAGCTGGGGTTTCAATATTAGCAATTAATACCTCCATTTCACCACTGTCTTCATGCTCTTTGACCTCATGGCTCTATGGACCAGTTTCAATCTTCCTGAATTCTGTTAGGTTGACTTTCTTGATAAGTTTTAGTTTCAAGTTGCCACTGACATTTAATAGTATTTAGATGAGTCAGATAAGAAAAGCCACTCCTTTGATTTGGCATTCTGGGATGTCATTCATCCCAGAATCTCTGCAGACATTTGGATCTCAGTGGTCTCCACTTCAATTTTCTCTTCCAGTGTCCTCACCCTATATTCTTCTGGATTAATCACAGCTCTGCTGTACAACTTTCACTGTATGGAAGAAGTGATATTTAATCTTAGTCATTTGCTCCCATGACTACCTTAATCCATACTTCCTTTCACCCCGTGTATTATTTTCTCATATTTTGTCACCTAAGCAAAAGCCTTGTGCAAAAAGATGTTGTGAAGAGCAATGGCCTAGTCACAATAAGCCTTTTAAAATGGGGTGAGATATCCTTGCTCATTGTGTTAATGGGTTTGCTATGCATGATCACTTTGTGTTGTTTCCCCTGCTCTCCACTTACTTTCCGTAATGCCATCAAGGCCAATATCTGTCATCACTACCTGTGGTTTGAACTGAGTATATTAAATATATATTGTGTGAAGGAGTATTTTATTTGACGTTCCTGAATTGACTCTGACTTTTATTGGATGAACCACAGGTTTATGCAAAAGGGAGAAAACTTCCTTTTGTAAACCCCTCATTTTTTTTCTAAACTAGAAAGGCCAATAATACCTTACACCAAATTTATTGCATAATTTTCTACAATATATAATAAGCTAAGTTTTGTTAAAAGATTGCCTAAGTTCAGAAAGAATTCCCCTACCTTCTCTTACATGATTGTGAAGCGGGTTTATCCCACAGATTTAGAATATTTCCTAAATACTTTAGAAAGTGGAAGCTTCTTTACAGGTACCCTTTCACTGGCAATTGAGATTTCCAGTTGTTTATGGTGCAGTCCTAAGGTCTCAGGGAACTTAGGAAAGATTGAATCTTCACCTCATAAGCCAGAGACAGTTCTCAACTCAGAAGGAGCTTTGATCTCAGAGGATGAGATCTACTATGGAATTTCTTCCTTGCTGCCACAGAAAAATCCATAGCCTCATCCTTCCAGCATTGGAGTTTTGACACTGAAGAGGGGAAAGGAGATAGGCTTAGGGGTAGAGCAAATGAAGCTTAGGATCCAGCATCTTCAAATCCAGAAGCTTAGGATCCACATCTCTTAACTGTGCCCACACCATAGGAAGACCACAGCTCTGGAGCTGGACTATATGATTTCCCAAAGGGTGCATGTGTAGGGCAGGGGGATAATTTAAATTTAAAATTTACATCAGAGGAAAAGCAGTGAACATTGTTCCTCGCTCTCTTCTGCCTTGCCAGAAGGAAGTGTTAGAATTCTTTGAATTGTTGGAAAGGCTTATTGATGAGTTAACTTAATAGAACATGCTGACAGAACTTGGCAATTGAATGTTAATATTAGTTGGCATCTGTCTGATGTCATCCAGCTCAGTAAACAGCTTCTGTACTGACTTTCCAGTCAAAAGACAATGTTTTGTTAACATCTCATATCAGTTGCTGCTATTACATTTGTCCCTTCAAGCAGAAGTTGCAAGAGGAAAAACACTGATGTTGCTTAGAAATGAGGCATCATTCAGGCAGAGCATCCTTAAAGCAGGATCAGTCACAGCAATAACTGGATTCATGGATCAATTGCTATTGACCTTGAGCCATGAATAGAATTTTCTCAGTCATTCATTTAGCAGTGGATAATATCTCAGCAAGATTCAGAAACTTGTGCCATTAAGACTTGCGTCTGGTTGGCAGAAAAATCTTTAGCCTCTCTAATTCTCCCCCGCCACCTCCGCTGTTCCATGTCCTCTAATAAGCACTATATTCAATGAATAAGCATTCCCCTGGTGTTCACACACCGTGCCAAATTTTAAAGAATACAATTCACCCATCATCAACCCACTGATGGATTAGCACTGTTTAGTTGCTGTTTAGTAGACCTAAACAAAAAAAGTAATTCTTCTGTTGTGTAGTAATTTTTTAAAATACTTGAGCAACCTGCACCTGTTCAGTTTAATGCCCCCGCATGCACATGTGTGCGTGTACACATACCCCTTCTTGTATATCCAAAATGCTGTACAATAGGGCAAATTCACCTCCATGATATAAAATCAAATCTCAAGGAGGAACTCAGCAAGAAACTGCTACTTCAGGGAGAAACAGCCCACTGAAGATTTGCAAATGAGGGTTTTTCTGCATTCCGTAATGGACCTCTGTACATTTGGAAGTTGGCACTTCAGAACAGAACACGGGCCTAGCTTGCAACTAATGAGTTTCAAGTCTCATTAGCCAGGCCTGTTTGAAAGGCTAGCCTTTGTTAGCTAGATTGTATCTTGGGCTTGATTGTACCTTGGACTGGCTATGGAATAGCCGAGCAATGTTAAGAAGCGCTATATGGGAAGTGGCTTTGTGGTGTAGTGATTACAGTATCGGGTCGAGGAGATCCAAGTTCAAATCCCCAGGAATCTCACGTAACTTTGGGGCAGTCACTAATTCTCAGCCTAAATTACTTCACAGGGTTGTTGTGAGGATAAAATGTAGAAGAGGAGGATTGTGCACCTCCTTGGACTTCCTGGAGAAGAAGGTGGGATAGGAATCCAGTAAGCAAAACAAATAAGGTGGACTGTCTTGCCAGGAGAGTCTGCCGCTCTTTTTTCTTGGCTGCCGGTTTCACTTCTGCAGTTGACAAAGAGAAAAGCACTTTCTGAAATGAGAGACGATCACTTCTTTTCTGTGCCCGCCCCCATGCACAGGCGTCTCAGTCAGCGTGTCAACATTCAGCCTCATTGCGATATCTTTAGAGAGGTACAGCGCCATCTGCAAACCGTTGCAGTCTCGGGTCTGGCAGACAAAATCACATGCCTTGAAAGTGATTGCCGCAACCTGGTGTGCCTCCTTCATCATCATGACGCCCTACCCGATTTACAGCATGTTGATACCGTTTACAACACTCCACAACAGCACTGCGAATATGTGTCGCCTCCATTGGCCAAGCAAAGTGATGCAGCAGTCTTGGTAAGAATGTGTTGATTCTTTGTGTGCTTGTGTGTGTTTTCAATGGCATTTGCTGGAAGATGGGATTAGATGGCATTAGAGTTGTTACACTTGAATCTGGAAACTTATGGGCAGTCTACCAGTTCACCTTGTTAGTGGGGCAAAATAAGTATTATATTCAGGGAGATTGCAGCCTATTAAACATGTTAGATTTTGTGGTTGCATTAGCAAGTTAGCAATGATTCTATAAACATATGGATAAGTAGCACAGGACACCATCCGCACCATCCAATATTTTCACATGAACAGTTCCCAGAGATACAGCTGTGGGATGAGACATTTGAAAGTATCAGCTGTATGCGTTTGCCCCACAAGTGTCTTCAATCAAACAGGTTTTGCAGGATTTAGTAGCACTTCAAAAACCTCCAAGTCCTGTATGACCAAAGACAACAGGGAGCCTAAAAAAGGAAGTAGGCACAAGCCAGACATCTACTCTGTTAACTATTTCTGCTGCTTTTCATCCCGAACAATGATGGCTCTGTGGTTCTTTGCACACATGAAGCAGTTGCAAATGTAACATTGACACTGGATGTGAACTTGATAGGAAGCAACTGCCAGTCCCTTCCTTATATACAGCAGATGTATTTGCAAACACAGATTTGCACAAACTTAAGCAGACATTACATTGTCGAATTCAACATAAAATACAGCAAATCATACTAATATGTAAAAAAAAATACAAATGCGACCAATATTTTGTGACAGTGACCAAAATGGGGTTACAGTTGTGGAGAGAACAAAGCCATGGTGGTCACCTCAAAGTGCCACTTGGGGGTTGGTAGCTTGGCTCTCAGGGGCAAGCTCAGCAAGAGCAGCAATGGCTTTTTGCTGCTCCTGCTGAATGGCTCACTGACCACTTCCTGGGACCTGTGGTGGGATTGGTTTGATGATACTACAGTCTGTCACGGGTCCAGCAACCCCTCCAGTACACAAGGACTGTCAGTGTGGGTTGTTCCAAAAATACAAACCACTCTGCAGGAAGTAACCTGACTTTACACAGCATGACAACCCACTGTGACTAGTTACCCATGATGCATTGTTACGTTGAGGGAACCCAGGTCATGACTTATTTGGATCTGGCTCTACTGGATGTTGTGCAGGTTTCTCTTAGGACAAGAAACATGTAATGGCTGAGGGTTCATTGTAGAACATAATTGGAGTGGGAGGAGAATGTATGATTTGATCCTCGCTGAGTTTGGCTGATAACTGGCTCACACTGATTTGGGAGCAGCTAAGAAAATGAAATAGCAAAGCAAAAGGGGTAGGATCCAGCCATGCCAAAGAGCAATAACCTCCACTCTACGTGTCAAAACAAATGCCTTGAAACATCTGTGAAATTTGAAAGGCATAGATTCTAATCTCCCACTATTACTTTCTTTTACACTGCAAATGATAATAATTGATACACTTGTTTCCCCAGTTCGACTTTTTTTTAAATGGGAGAAGGCATCCCTTAAAATTCAACTAGAGCTTGGAGACTGGTAATATCTGTCTTTCCTAGTCTAAATCTTGCTTGTGCCCTCTGCAGGTACATCTTCCAGCTGCTCATTCTTTTCCTTATCCCAGGGATTGTAATGATGATTGCATATGGCTTAATCTCCTTGGAGCTCTATAGAGGAATCAAATTTGATGTCAGTCAGAGAAAGTCTTCACGAGGTAATCTTGATGATTGAACCCACACTTTCTTTCCTCCATAATGGTTTCAGAGGTGAGAATGTGATCGGTAGAAGACAGTTATGCTTCAGGTCCACGTCAAGCAGAGCAAATTCAACCATCTCAGAATAATCTTGCAATTGTTTCCAGCTGCCTAATCATTTTTAGGAAGATTATTTGTAAAGAATGATTGCAACCATTATTCTTCAGTGTGCAATTATCTAGCTGAACAATTGTGGAGCTTCTGACATTTCTTTTCAGCTGCATTTTACATGTGAATGTACAAGTACATTTAAAGGTCAGTGGTGGAACTAACAATTAAAAGCCTAGCACTGTTATCCCCCTCATAACACTGAGAATATAGTTAAGGCATAAAATAAGGTATTATGTTTTGAAACATTCTAAGAGTGGAAAGCATAGACCAGGTGTAATAATGGGAGCACACATTGGTTCTTACAGGGAAGGGTGGGTGTGTAGGAGGGTGCTTTGTTCCCTTATTTTCTTCCTATTTTCTCCTCTGAATGGTTTCTTTTCAAGCAGCTTCCTTCCAGAGCAGGAATCTGGCTCCAGTGGAAGGGGGGATTCATTAAAAATGGCTGGGGGGCTTATACAGGGAGCATGAGCTGGTGTCAGATAAGAACCCCCTCTTGCTGACTGACTCCCCTGTCGGTGCCCACAGGCACCCACACATGAGTGTTATAAGGGAAGCAGTACAGAGCTGGATTGCCATATTTCTCTCATATTACCTAGTCCACATCTGGTTTCCCCACATGTGCTGAACTGCAACTTGCATCATTCCCTGCCAATTGCCTGGAAGAAGCCAGGCTGGGGGAGACTGAGCTAGTCCCACCCAAAGCTGCTGGCTTGAAGGACCAGTAGCAAGGAGAGGCATAGCCCCTCGCCCGCCAACAAGAGCTCCCAGGAGGTGGTGCTCCTCTTTGCCACCGTGACCTGCTTGTCCACCTAACTCCCACTTTGACCCAGGCCAGCATGGTGGTGAGGAGCCAGCACAGGAGATGCCATGGCCTGTTTGCTAATGGGCTTTCTCGCTGCCAAGCAGTCCTGGGTGGGTGGATTCATTCAGGAAAGGGCATGCTGAAAACGTTGCGATGTTCTTCATTCAAAACTTGGATGTCAGCACTGCTGGCCTCACCCAATGAATTCAAGGGGATTTAAATTAATTAAACATTAATTAAACTGATTGACTACAAAAAGCCCCCAAAGATGTCTATGGACCTAAAGTTGTTGGGTCTCTGTTAATGCTCAGTTGGCAAGAGCGTTCTGTATTGCCATGGATTGTATTGCCATGGATTGTATTGCCATGCCTAGGGAAAGGGGATTCTTCTAGGACAACCTCCTAACATGTGACACTGAAGTTTTCTAGGAGCCATTTCTTAAGGGAACTCCTACTGATTTATCTTGCTATAGTCCCAGATGCTCAGCAAAAGATTTTCTGTTGGAAAAGGACCTTGAGTTGAAGTCTGCCTCCACTAGTCTGACTACCTGTGCCTACAGGTGTATCCATTCCTTATTTTTAAAGCCATATCACAGGCAGGACAGTAGATCTTTTGGGGTGGTGGAGGAGTGTGGTTTTTTATACAACTTACATCTAATGGGCTCAGCATTGCACATGGATGAAGTCCAAATGTGCTAGTTAGTGAACGGTCCTGGAGCTGGAGCTGTAACTATTGTGAGAGTTATTTCTAAGGATATGCCATTAATGGCATTTGAGGACTCCATAATGGAATGCTTTTGTTTAAGCAAGTTATTGTCACTGATACACAATTTACTCTAAGAATAATTGGTAATTTAATAAGAATCTAAGAACAGGCTCAGTCTGTATACCAGAGAACAGAGACTTGTCCTCCAAGGCTGAGCAATTCTTACCCATACACATTCTAAAGTCAACCTGTTTGAGTGCAAAATTGAAGTTTGCTTTCATTTTCAACTGAGAAATGAAAGTTTGCTGGGAAACACGGCTTTAGTCCAATTTCACAGAGAGGCATTTGACATGCATCTTTTCTGTTATTGCCATTTATCTTTTAGCAGCCCAAGGGCAGGTTTTACACTCTCATAATATTTTTATGTGTTGGAAAAGCTTTGTCTGAGCACGTTCTGGTAGAAAGCGATTTGATCTCTGCTACTTTGTGTGAACAGAAAGGAAAGCTAGCACCAGCAGCAGTAAATATGATGAAGGAGATGGATGCTACCTGCAGAAAAGCAAGAAGAAGAAAGGGATGCCACTTCATCAACTTTCGGCAAATAATGGCAGCACCAAAATCAGCCGGCCTAGAAGTAGCTGCTCCACTGCTAACTTGATGGCCAAGAAGCTGGTCATCAGAATGTTGATTGTGATTGTGATCTTATTTTTCATTTGCTGGACTCCAATCTTCAGCGTCAACACCTGGCGTGCCTTTGACACCATATCAGCAAACCAGCTTCTCTCTGGAGCCCCCATCTCTTTCATACATTTGCTGTCCTACTTATCAGCCTGTGTGAATCCCATTATCTATTGTTTCATGAACAAGCGTTTCCGCATGAGGTTTCTGGCAACCTTCACTTGCTGTGCCAAGCAAAAACTTCCAGTGGTCAGAGCAGAGATGGCTGAGGATGAGGAAGGGAAGACCACGGGGGCATCTCTTTCAAGGTACTCTTACACACACACAAATGTGTCTGTTCCTCCATGAACATGTCCAAGTGGAAGATGGAGGAAATTCAAGCATTTAATCTTCTGGTGTCACCTTGATGTTGTCTAACCCTTTTAACTTGGCTTGGTACACATACACTCTGTAAAGTGGATGTCTGTAAGAGATGACCAGTACAATAATTTTTGAAAGGTCTCCCATCAAACAAAGATATTTCAGCTTGGAATCTAAGAAGAAAGAAGATAATTAGAAAAGGTCAGTGCTGATAGCTGTGAAGTTTTGTATAGCTCATCCACACACACTAGTAACTAGCATCAGTCAATGGCAAATGCTTTTCACATGAAGTAAGCTAGCTCATATTTTCAAAGTGAAAGTTCGTTATACCGTGAGATTCTTCTAAGGCCAGTCTACAAGTTCCAGTTTAGATTGCTATATTATATGGTAAAAAAAGAATGAACTCAAAGATCCATGGGCTGTGTTTGTTTATTTGTTTTCAGTAGTTTTGCTGCTAAATAATTTTATCATCATTGGAAAGAATGGGGCAGGGGGAAGAGAACTGATGTAGATCAGAAGGGAAATAGAGAAAGCAAGCAATGACTTTTATGTCTGGAGAATCAAGCCAGTAAGTTTCCACAACAGATGTATCACCCTCATTCTCCAAGTGCTGCCATATAATATCACTGTTATTTTGCTATGGCCACTTCACATAATATAGATCCAAAACATTGGTGGAGTAAGGGATTCATCATGGTTGTTTTGTTTATGGTGGCCTCTACCAATTAAGGTCAGATCAAGACTTCATGTACTCCAGTGTCCTGTTTAACTTGGCAACCAGATGCTTTGCTTTAATGGAATCCACAAACAACCCTTGAAGGAAACAACTCCTTCCCCATCCTTTGTGCCCTGGCAAGTACGATCCAGTGGATCCAAGATCCACTTCCTCCAGATATGGGGGTTCCATTCAGCAATCCTGAAAGGCGTATCTTTAGGCAATCATTTTTCTTTTAGGCAATTTACCTATCAAACAGATTTTGAAAATTTCCACAGAGGTACCCTTTGAAGGAAGTTTAGCTTACAATTTCTTTCTTTCTTTCTTTCTTTCTTTCTTTCTTTCTTTCTTTCTTTCTTTGCAACCAAAGGTATATTTTTAATTTCTTTTGTCAGTATTTCTTATTGCAGTAATACACCAGAACAAAAAATACATTCAACAGATAAACATTAATCTACATTTCTCCTCAAATATGCCTGTCATCAAATGTAATATATAAACCAATTCTAAGACGGTCATTTTTTCACGCATTCACAGTAGAATGTGATGGCAACGGAAAGCTATTTATGGTGGTATACACACGGGCTACTTGCTTCTGTACAAAGGAGATGGGATAGGGAGTTTCTCCTTTAGAGGAAAAAAAGTCATCCGTACATGCCATGTGACTATAGTATTGCAGCACATCAGAGGAAATAGAGAAGGGACACGCAAGCAGTTTGGCTGGGGCAGTGGAAAAACACAGGCCTTAATATGATAGCCATCATTTGGGCCAGCTGCACTGTCAGGAGGTTTGGAGGATTTGTGTGGGGAGAGCAGGTTGGTGACTGCTTCAGCATGGGCCTCAGCTGCCCAAAGGAGGGGAATTACTATGGTCCTTAACTGGTCATGTGAGACTGTTGTGGCAGGAAATGTAGCATGTGGGCAGATATGGCCACCTAGCAGCCTTCGTGTAACATACGAAGCAATTGTATTACTCACTGGTGTCCCTGCTCAGTTTTAAACAGAAGTAGAGCTATTCTACATGTGAACATTGCATTGTGGCCTTTGCATGTAAGACCCCAAGGCTTAGTCAAAAGGATGTTGTATTCGATTACAAAATAGAACTTCATGGATATGTAAAGGTGGCCCAGCTGTGTGTGATGGCTCCTCAGACGGATCTTGGCTTAGACCTACACAGTGAGCAGTGAAAGCAGGAGGGAGAGATTTGGAGGCAGTGGGATGACTGCCTGGGAGTGTGCTATGGATTGGACAAACAGCAGAATCCTTTGCTGCATTTTTTAAGTGGAGGGAGTTTAACATGGACAGTGGCCCGTTAGGAAGGTTAGCCTGTTACAGCCCAGATTTATATGCCTTATAGTGGGCAACACTTCTAAGGCCCTAATTATTAATGTTAATCATTAAGACACCTCAAACACTCGTAGCTCTGTGTGTGTGTGTGTGTGTGTGTGTGTGTGTGTGTGTGTGAGAGAGAG